TGCCTTGCCAGCCCGCTCAGAGATGTGTATAAGAGACAGTATATATATATAGGTATATATATATAGTCATCAAACTAATTGTCCGGACAATGCGTTAATATGTGTGTGTGTGTGTGTGTGTGTCTTTTTGAATATTCGAATAAACTATAGGCATGCACGAATGAGAGGAAATTGATTATCACGCGACTCGTGCGATAACAGAATTTGCCGCGCGCAATCAAATACCTGGCCAATTCTTTCAGAGTGCAAACTAGCACTATCGTCGCGATCTTAACGCACTGAAATACTCCTATACGCTTCTTAAAAATTTCTGGCCGCTCGGTAGGATCGTTATTATAAAGAAAATCATTCCAGTAGTTGCTGAAGCTCTCGATGAGCATTTGTCGAAGACGGGGTAGAGCAGAGGGTTCGCTATATAGATTCGTAAAGGGCGAATCGCTCTCTTGACAAGTCCAGTTGTCCGTCGAATATTTCAACGGTAAAAAATCCGCCAAAGTTAGATGCTCCTGTCGCAAGAGCAAGTGGTGAGCTCGTACGAGACATATCTGACGTTCCTCTCCTCGTACGAAGCAATTCACTACGTGTACCTGCCAAGGCGGTAATTTCCTCGGAAGAAATTTCGATGTGACATCACTTATGTAATCCTACGACAAACAAGCCTGCACGTCAAACGGCAGAACTGCGAACAGTAAGTGGGAATATAATGCGCCGACCTGTATATTGTTCTCGGTGATAGGACGACCTCGAAAGAAGAATGGTGAATTTGCGAGATGGTTGTCCACGGAAAAGTAATCGAGTTCTTTCCATACGTATGTGCCCCATCGCGTGAAGAGGGCCGATTTGAGGAATTTTCTCGTTGAAGTCAGATGCGCCAAGTGATTTCTCACGCCCTTGACAATCGAACGTCCTTGGACGAGAAGAGTGCATATACCCTATATATTATACGTATTATATATAGCTTGAGATTATGACGAACGGCCGTCAAATTCATCGATATGCTTACATGATTGCGTCCCTGGTCCAAGATGCTTCGAATACTATTCTCCTCCACAACAACGTAACTCGGGTGTTTCCATTTGACAAAGCGTATCCAACATTTTCTTGTCCACGTCACCACTTAAAAATGTCAAATGCACACGTATCGCAATGTAGCTCAGAATAATGAACGAACGAAAGGAGAATAAAATTATTCGGCGCTAAAATCACTCGCGTTAATATACATATATAATGTATGTACGTATACGGTTTGTCGAACATTAAAAGCACAAAAGTAACATGACGGGAGACATATGCATAAAAGGATTGATATGTTATATTATATACGCGCGGAGAGTAAAATCTCTTCATTTTTCTCCAAAAGCTCAAAGAAAAAAAAATACATTCAAAATAAAGATAATTACCTACGTACGCGATAAGAAGTAGAGGAACCAAAAAAGTCGTGAGCGCAAAACTAAAGCTGAGATTCACCATCGGAGAAATAACAACGATACCGACCATGACCTAATCCCCTAATGTTGCGACACAATTTTCGTCAATTATTAAACGATACAAGAGATGATTCTCGAGTCGAAAACGCGAGCAGCGTTACTTTCGTAGTTCTCGATCTTACTACTGCTAAGTGCAGCAGTGATGTAAGTCGGCGCAATTTAATTCGCGGTATCCGCGTTCTCGCGTACGAGTCTCGGACACGAACGATTATATGCCGAGTCTGACCTTACGACCTCCCTGACAAAAAAATCAAGCGAGACGCTATGAGATACTATATATATCTACATATATATACATATATATATATATACATATATATATTCCTTCGTGTCTCACCGTCGAACTCATCGATAGGTCTCGTCTGCAAGTTATCATCACCGACAGTCACAACAGCCTGCTGTCGGAAAGAGCAACGATTTCAGATAACGTTCTTTCAAAACCTTTTACGAACGAAATTATGAAATTGCATGTTTACAGACGAATGTAAACATCCAGTTGAACAGATTCTTCTAGAAGATCTATATAGTTTCTTTTCGTGTAATGAGAATTAAATAAACTCATATATACACACTAAATTAATTGTCCGGACAATGCGTTAATATATCGATAATTTATAAAAATTCAAGATAGAGCAACTTTGTCAAAAATTATCGTAACATAATGATTAAAAAAGCATTTCACAGTTTTTAAAATCTCTACTTTCGAAATCCATAATTCATTAAATGACTTACTGATCATTCTTTACAAAGCTGCACGGATGCAAATGGAGATGCATCAAATCTAAAATTTTTTTTACTAAATTTGCAAAGTTCCATGGAGTGAAATAAAAATCGCATACAAATGCGACTTACAGC